TAGGTGAAGCCTCGGATAGAAAGATTCACCATCTTGTAAGAAGAGTGATCGTGCCAGAAAGTCGATCATATAGTGGAAGAGGTCGAGAGGCGGAATATCTCGGCGACGGTGGATGTAGGCAAATTTATTTGTCGAACTACTCTAAATCTCGTTTGCATCTCTCTTAACCCTACATCTCTAATTTTTGCACTTTAATTTGATAGTTGACATTGATTGATTTAACTCTTGGTGATAAGCTTATTAAACTTGTTATATGATATTAGATTGATTCATCTTGTGCATATCAAGTGTTTGTGCTATTGCATTAACTTACATAATTCTCTGCTCACTAAATGTTTGATAAAAATACTGTGTTGAATTAATTGTCTATATTTGTTTCTTAATTTTTGAATAATTGTATAAATTCTTGAAAAATATTTAAAACCGAATTCACCCCCCTCTTGGGTAGTCTTACTAGGGAGAACAGATTTGACGTTTCAACACTTAATTTTATCTATAGTTTTTCAGAGTGCATTTGGTAGGGAGAAGAGGGGAATAGAAATATAGATTGAAAGTGAGGAAAAGGGAGGAGGGGTGAATGATTATGAGTTTTTTTTTAAAGTTATTTGGTATATCAGGAAGGCAAGAAAATTGTTATTTATTCCTTTATTTGTTATTTATTATATTAAAAAAGGAGAAGAAATGATTCCTTGTAAAATACCACATTATCCACAAATTACATTAAAAAAAATGACAAGGATAAAAATGTGAATATACAATTACGTCCCCTCTACGAGTCTTTGGGCGCGTTTGGAACTCGTTCCAAAATGATTTTATTTTTTGTATGAAAATGAAAATGAAAACGTTTTCAATCTCAGACAGAAATCATTTTTAAAAATGAGTTTGGTAATTTTATCAAGAGATTATTTTTAGTATAAAAAAACCCATTAATGTCTCTGTCTCTTTCTCTCTGCTCGAGAGAGGAGAAAACGAAAACAAAAAATAAAAAATGACTAAAATTTGTTTTTTATTTCTCTCTCATTTTACACTAAACTAAAAAAATCGTTTTCATTTATGTTTTTTGTCTTTATTGCGCCAAACGCCATTTTAGAAACGTTTTCATTTTTTTTCTTGAAAAACGTGAAAAATAAAAACGGGATCAATTCCAAATAAGGTACTTGTGTTTTCCTTTCCCTAGCCCAATTACCCCTGCCAAACAATGGATGGATTGACACTTTCAGCCAACTTCTTTCTTTAAATCCCTTCATTCACGGAGAAGAGAGCTGATCTTACATATAACATGTCGTAGTCATGCCCCGGGGTAAGGGTCAGTGACGTGGAGGCTCGATTATGGGTTAAACGCGATTAAGAATAAAATATTAAGAAAATTTCCAAACAATCCCCACTATTTTTCCGAAAATAAATTACAGAAACATCTCAAGAGGCTAAAACTAAGCCTCTAACATCATTCAAGGCTACACCCACAGGATCTTTAGTATTGTACATACATGACACGTGTAAATAACATTACAGACATCAACCACAGTCTAGAAATCCAAATATCATAATTTATAAATTCTTACATTCGTACACCAGGAGGATGAACACAATCCTCTCTTAATCGGGTGGTAGCAACTCAGCTACTCTGCACTGCTCCTAGAGTCGCCTGGGAGGGGTTTAACATTTATAAAACAATAAAACGTGAGCGAAATGCCCAGTAGGATATATTTTGAAATAAATTTATAAATAAATAAATAAATGGGTAAGCAAGTGAATAAATAAATAAATGAATAAATAAGACATTCAGTTCCAACACAACAGCCGGAACCTCACATCCTTTTTCTCAAAGGAAATATAACTGAAAATGTCTATATAACAGGCATTAGCAAGTAATTTATATTATGATAAATTTCTTACACAACCACGTGCACAAGCTTAATCACCCCCGGGCCGGGTTTCGGGTTTTGCCCCCAAGGATGCACTCTCCACATCCTATCTAGGCCATCAGCCGGTTTACCGATTCACAAGATCTCTTGTCTTAAGAAATCACTCATTAAACTTTATGAAACAGTTCATTATAATTCCAATAGCTAAATCAAGCTATTGTTTTTAAACATGTTTTTCTTTCACAAACATGCCCTTTCTTTAAAACATTTGCAAGACCAAAACTCTTTGAAAACAGGCTCACAAAGAAAGGGATCAGAAATCCTACCTCGTAAATATCAAACCTGGCTAGCGTTACACTATTCCAGCTTTCGCTTCCTCAAGCCCTTCAATCCGAGTCCTCAGCTAGCACTGATACAAAACAACACTTTAGGATCCAATTCTCATTCCTAAAGCAACTCAATCTCAATTATATCCTTTGATTTCCTATAACTGTGCCTTAATCAATTTTCAAGTTTCATTAATCAACTCATGTTTCAAATTATCATTCCAAGGGTTTTCAATCTCAAAAATATGGATTAAAGATGCTAATCCATTCACTCTAGGTCCCCAAATAAAGTTAATTTGGGTTCTTCTCGAAAATCGAGGTCAAAACAAGGTTTTTTAGCAAAACAGGGTCAAACCCAGTGTACACCGATCGACCGGTGACAGCGTAGTGCAACACCACTGGTCGACCGTGGTGTGCAATTCGGTCGATCTATGTGGTCGACCGGTCGACTCAATGCAGTCCGGTCGACTGCATAGGTCGACCAGTTCAGGTTGACCGCACAGGTCAACCTGTGAAGAACAGTAGGGTGAGGAAAACCCGCAGAATCAGCCCAAAAACCTGCAAATCTGAGTCCAAATCGAGATATCTCAAAACAAAACCACTAGATCCGGGTTCTAGGTATTGAATCAAGTCCAAAGAACCCAATATCTCTAATTCCTACCATGGTTTTACTCAACATCCATCAAAATCCATTTTGAACCAAAATAGGTTTTCTGATATACAAAATCCAAGATTCAAGAGAGGGTTTTTCAGAAATCTTACTTCAAATCATTCTCTTGACGTTGAAAACTTCTTTAAATCATTTCTTAGTTCAAGATCCGGTAGATTTGAGACAAAATGGAAGAGAGGGAGTGAGAGTGAGAGGGAGAGAGAGAGTATGCATGCGAAGGAAAGAAAGGAAAGAAAAGGAAAAGGAAAGAAAAAGGAAAAAGAAAAAGAAAAGACAAGTGTCCAATATTTAAAATAACAGTCCAGAAATGTGTCCATACACACTTCTAAATAAAAATATAAATACTGAGAATATTTAAATACCTTGGAATTATTTAACTTTACACGTCAAAAATATTTATTAATCAATAATTAATTAATTAAACCAGATTAGGCACACTAATAAATCTTAATTATCTTAATTAATCTCATTTAATTCTTTAGGGTGTTACAATAATAAAGAATGAATCATCATATTTATTCAATTTAAAAATAACTTTATAAAAGCACACCAACAAATATCTATAACAAATCAATGTTACCCAATTCTAAAATCTTGATTACATAATGGGATTAAAAATATTGGACAGGACCGCATTCAAGCAAATTTGAAGCTTAAGGCAAAAATTTTAAAAGGGGTCTTTTTCCATTTTAAAGAAAAAAGATTTTAAATATATTAAAGAATAATTAAACTTATTTTAAATTTACTTTTCTTATTTTTTGAGATGTAAAATTACTAATTAAATATTTATATTCAAGTTTATCTGATAAATTTTTTGAACAAAATTTACCGAACAAAATAGTTGTTGTGAATCTCAAACAATAACAATCAATAGATTAGAAGAAAGAAATACAAAGAAAAATATCAACTTGAGGTACTCTTGAAATAAGGTTGATGAGTAAGTAAGAAAATAAGTAAATTAATGTAGAAGCAAAGATTCTTTTGAAATTAGAGTTTTTTTTTTTTTTTTGCCCTTTTTCTTCATCTTTCTTTTTCGATGTTTTTGTAGTATGTAAGTTAGATAAATCTAACGTATATCTATAAATAAGTATCACACGGTTAAAATAATTTATACAGATTTGAATATAATCTCATTTAAGTGAAAATAATCATCTATTTTACGTTTATAATTTTAAGGAAGAGACAACCAAACATAAAATGTTTTATCGAGATAATCTAGATATGTGAGCCTATTCAATCTATAAATTTGAAGAAAAAATTAAATAAAAATCTACATTTTTAATGAAAGAAGAAAGTATTGTTATAAAAAATTTAAAATTATGGTTTAAATTCGCAAGATAAATGCCCAATCCCTTTAATCCTTACACATAAATGACATTTTTAATACGATATCTACAGCCTCGTGGGTTTAAATTGTACAGGTTTAACTATTTGGGTGAATTTATATGTGAATTTTTTGTAGTTTAAATTGTCATTTAGTAGTGTAAGGTTTAAACATAGAATAAAGTTTGAATCAATGTTAGGTTATATTATTAAAACTATGAGTTTTTAAAAAATGTGAGCGAAAATGGTCGGTAGAAACTAAAGTTTTATGTGGTTTAAATTGTTATTTACTTCTGTAAATAGTGTTTTGAGTTAGAATTCAAAGAATTTTTGTGTAAAGTTCTATAAATCTATTATTTGAGAGCCTCTACAGTGAGACCTCTTAAAAAAATTCACTCATAAAATATCTTATTTTGATCATTAAATTAAATTTTTAACGATTAAATATGTACAAATTTATATTATTATTTTAAAATAGATGTATAAAACTACACTTTTTATAAATCTGACCGTTAATAAAAGTAATCCGATAATTAAAACATGGTATTCTTGTGGTGGTTTTGTTTAAAGGTCTCATCATAGAAAAAGCCCTATTCTTTATACACATAGCACAAAAGTTAAAATATTAAATTAATAAAATATTAATAGGAAATTAAGTTTTATTTTTTCTTAATTATTATTTTTTCTGGTTTCTTTTTTCTTTTTTAAAGTCCACAATAATTCAGACATCGCTTACGTGGCAGTCTAGGGTGCAATGCCGCTGCTAAAAGGTTACCCCCTACCTTCCAAAAGTAAAAGAAGAAACCCAACTCTCTCTCCCCTCTCCCCTCTCCCCCCTCCTCTCTCTCTTTCTCTCTCTAGAAACGCTTTACTTTTCCCACCACTCGATTCTGCCCCCCAAAACACCCCAAAATTACGATTCAGTACAACAGATCAGTGGGTGTTCTCTCTGCTCTGGTGCTTAGTACGACTCACCTTCACTCTTCTCACTCTTCTCTCTCTCTCTCCTCCTTTCTCTCTCTACCTCGCCGGAGATGAGCGCCGGCACGACGGCGTTTCGGTCCATACTGGACAAGCCCCTGAACCAGCTCACCGAGGATGACATTTCTCAGCTCACCCGTGAAGATTGCCGCAAATACCTCAAGGAAAAAGGTTTTCTCTTTGCTTTTGGTTCTCTCGTTTTGGGAAAAATGTGCTTAATGATTGATTAGTTGGTTGATTAATCGGTTAATTAGTTGATTAATTTGTTGAATTAAGTACGGTTCCGTTCCGTCCAGGGATGCGAAGGCCGTCGTGGAACAAATCGCAGGCGATCCAGCAAGTGATTTCGCTCAAGGCTTTGTTGGAGCCCTGCGACGATTCCGGCGCCGGAGCCCTAAGGAGGATCGTCGCTTCGACGCCGCCGCCACCGCCGACACAAAACGCGCCACGTGTCTCCACTTTCAGTGTATGTATATATAATATAATATAATACAATACAATATAATATAATATATTATAATAAGCTTTGGCCTGTTTGGTTGCCGAGAAAATTGGAGGGAGGGATTAGTGATTTCTTTCTTTTTTTTTAATTTTTTTTTTCGGTTTGTGTTTTTGATTTGACGAGGAAAAGAAAAGTGCGTGTCTTTTAGTCTCTCCTTCCATATGCTGGTCAGTGAAGGTTTGACCTGGTTGTTGGGAGAAGAGAAACGGGAAAAAAAAATAATAGTGGCTGAGGGACCGACATTTTCTCGACTGCCAAATGGAAAATTTCTTTATTAATGGGAGGTTAATTCTGGAGGGAAAAATGTGGATTTTTCTTTAGGTTACTTCGAACTCGGCAGATTCGGGTAAGGAAGCAAGTGTTGATGTCCAGGTTTCGGCGGAGGAATCGGGACCGTGTCAGAGGAAGGAGCAGGCGAAATCTGCTCCGGAGACTGAGGAAAGACCGGCTGATGCGGGTGAGAGGGCAAGTCCAAGGTCTGATTTATGCCTTTGCATCACCTTTAATTTTCTTTGGAAATGTCTTAGAGAGTTGGTTTTGGCATTTGAACTTTTGGAAGATATAATTAGTGGGATTCTCTGAGATTTTAGCTTAAAAATGAGGATAAGAGGGGCTCTTTATGTTAGTCCATTAAGGATTTTATAAGGTAGTCACTGGGAATATGATATTTAGCTCAACAGAATCGAAATGCACCAATGTTGCTGCGGAGAAATGTTTTTTTTCTTAATATTTATATTTTTGTCTCAGAATATTTAACTTCCATTAATGAAGATTGTACCAGTGTGGAGAAAATGCCCTTACGAAAAAGGGTTTGTTCTGGCTAATGAACTGGACATTAGTTATGATCTAAAGAGCACCACTATCCTGTTGAGTACATTAGTGTCATTGTATAAGTTTGGGTGCTATTTTTGGTTCAAGTATACAAAATTTCGCTTACTTCCCTAGGAAGAGGTGCAGTTGTATGCAACTGTTTAGAATCAGATTAATTGGAGTCTCTCAAATATTTCTATAACGGTCTAAACATGAGTATTTGAATATGTGGCTGCAGAAGTCATTGTGCAACTGATGCATTGGTCGGACAAATGACAATTTTCTATTGTGGCAAAGTGAATGTGTACGAAGGGGTTCCACCTGAGAAGGTAAAGAACCTTCCTTATTTCAGTGACACCTTGAGATGAGCTTTCCAATGCAACCATGAATGTTTTGCAGGCACGAGCAATCATGCACCTTGCTGCAAGTCCAATCCCTTTATCTCGAGAAAATTCATTTGGGGTCCTTGCAGCACCTAGATCTTTTCCATGGCATTTACATGCTGCGAGTGACAAGGGTGGCCTTCTCCCTCCTAGTGCCACAATATCACAACCCATGCAGACAGGTACCTTTTGGAGGAGGTTGTTTGTTACTCTATGGGCTTGGATATTTGGGGTTTTGTGGTCCTCTTTGTGCTAGATGCAGTAAATCACATATATTAAAACCTAAAAAAATGTTATTGGGTTCTACTTCAGCATATGGAGTGATAATTGAATAATTTCTTTTCTCCGCATTTTGCAGATAAGCTAGCCGACTACAGCCAACAGTGCTGGGAGAAAGAAAATGGTACTTAATCCTGTTGGCTTTTATCATGTTTGGTTGCCAAGCAGATTATGCATATCGATACTTCTACCCTCTTTCCCCATTGTGGAATATCATTTACATAATATATGTCGTCTTACCAGTGAGATTTTTAGAAAAGTAGCTCCCTTTTTAAATATGCTTCCATAGTTAGTATCTCAGAGTTAGATAAATAAAAAAGTAAATTAATGTGCTCATGTTTGTGGCAATGCTTGTCTGGTACACGTGGAAGACATGATTTGGGAGACATAGGCCCCGTTCACTTTGCTGATTCGAGTTTAGACTTTGAGTTTAGATGTGACTTTATGTGAGAGCTTTTTATTGTAATAAAAAAGTTAGATGTGATTGTTTGTGAGAGCTTTTTACTGTAGAAAAACTCAAATCAGTGAAGTGAACGAGGCCTATAAACTTGTATATATAAATGTATGTATAAGATAAGTGGAAGCATAATGTACATTTCACTTGTTTTCATGGCATCATGATCACTGTAATGCACAGGACGGGCACCTCTACTATTGATGGATTAATGCGACACATGTTACCTCCATTATCTTAGTTTTACTTGACCACCATTCCGTTTATCCTTTCCGCCACCTCCAGCTTCGCTAGCATTGCATCTAAAGCCACCTTAACTGACAGTACGGCTATTTGCAATTTTTCCTCTACTGCCATATTCTTGCCGTTGCTGATATCATTAGAGTCCTCTTCCTTGACTCTGTTAACACCAATTCCATGCACACTTCTCGTAGTTCGGGTTGAAAGTAGTCCATTGACTTATTTCATGCACATGAATGCTTGTCAACAACTTCAGTAATACCTGGTTGGTGGTTATTCTTAAGATGCAGATGGTCAGGCGAGCAGAAAACTCTCATTGCAGAAATACCGTGAAAAGAAAAAAGATAGGTACCTAAGTGATGAAACCATCATTTAGCACCAGCAACTTTCTGTTTATGTATTTTATTATGCATCTGATTTTACCCTTTCTTGCTTTCTTAACCCTGAAAGGGGGAGGTTGAAGACCAAGAGAAGCACGGGATTTAATTCTTCTAGCATGGAGGTCTATTTTAACCACCAGGTAAAGACCCACATGTCAAATGGTAATTCAAGTCGAAGTAGCACAAGCTCTCCGACCCAGCCTGGACTACCACAAACATTGTGTAGCACAGTCGACAATCAGCCAAAGATTCCCTGTCTTCCTGTTGATCTCAATGAAAAACGTAAGTTCTGAAGATCTTTACTTTGTATGATTATTACTTGGGTCATAACTTGTGTATAAAGTTAGATTCTCACTCGAGCTAGATTGGATGCTTTGTTCCATGTTATCATTGTCTAAAAACATGTGTTGCAATCTTATGTCCTATGTGTAAAACACGCACCATCAAAAGCAGTTTTGGCAGTCTTCTTCTCAATTGAATTTTGATTAGGCCACTGGCCGTCACAAGCAGCTATTTATAAGCCCCCCGTTCATTGGAATTCCCCTTTATCAACTGATCATAATAAATAAATGCAGTTCAGAATAACCATAATAATGGTCATAATTATCTTTCGTTTCTGCTTTGCAGATAATTTGGATTCCTGAAACTTGAGAGTTGCAGAGGCTTTTTTGTAGTAACTATTGAGATGATGGGAGAGAAGAAACCAGTTAACTGCCTCCCGGAGACCTGCCTTTTGGCGTACTTTCGGCTGCTTATTCTACCACGAGGTTTTTCTACTGACTTTTGTATCTGAGGGATCTCTTCTAGGAGCGATACCACTTTTAGGCTCACATGATCAATTTTGTATTTCTAGGATCATTTGGTCATCATTAGGAATTATTTATTTCTGATGTCAAGGCTTCTAGGGTTGAGATACAGAGCTGGAAGCGGCCTTTCCTCGAGGTTCTAATTTGTAACTGTATGCTATCATTTGTGATGACACGACTCGTGTCGATAGCTTATCATTTGAGTCGAAATAGTTATTTCTTGACTGATGTCTTGTAGCTTCATAGTATGGTCTTGTGCATCACCTAACTTGGCTCTTTAAAGTTCTCTTCTCAAGACCATCAATCAACCTGATCACCTTTTTCAAGGGCATAATGGTATTTGATCTATAGTTACTCCTCTATCCACACATTTCATTATCTTATCTTCTGCTAATTAATCATGGTTCTCTTTTTCCCGTTTTTTCTTTTTCAAGTGGCCAAAAGAGTTGGGACAAAATGATTGCCTGGCACTGATGGTCATGTTGATGGTATATGGTGGGAAAAGGAGACTAATGATATAACGGTTAATATTTGCTTGCATAGTGCTTCCCTTTTTGGTTTAGAGAAGTTGCCCTATATGCGTTTTACTCTTGTGCACTCTCTCTCTCTTTTGGGTGCCGAGTAAGAAGTTCAAATGTGGGGTTCTTTGTTTATGTTTGCTGCCATTAGACAATTAAACCTTAATTTTAGGTGGTTGAATTTTGGCTCACCTTTGCCAAGGACAATTACGCTTTGAAGCCTCTCTCTCTCTCTCTCTCTAGATTTCTAGTGATTAAACTTCAGATAGACAATGCCAAAGGCAATCATGATCCTCTCACTTCTAAAGTATTGATCAGTGTGTTTCAAGCTAGGATTCACTTTGATCTCACATTTCAGAGGGTAAATTCGTGACTGTTCCCTGGTTTCTTATATTCAAGCTAAAGAATGAAGATCGTTTCTTTATTTCATGATGGCGATCAAAGAGTGGAGGTCAATCGTTTTCTTGTGTTACAAACATCAACTTTATGAGAAAAATGAGAAAATTTCAAAATATGGAAAGTAAAAGAGAACTACAACGCTAAATCAATTAGAGTCTCAAAAAGATCTAAAACGGAAAGTAATTAGAAGAAATGAAAAACAAAGAAAAATGTGTGTTGTTTATCACCACAGCAATCACACTTCGTAGCACTAGATTCAATTCTTTATATGCATATATATTTTCTGTCAAGTAACAGGCTTTTTTCCTCAGTGATACACAACCCGTATGAATAACAAAAAAAAAAAAAAAAAAAAAAAAAAACCCAAAAAAAAAAAAAGTGAAAAAAAAAAAAAAAAGGAAAGGAAAAAAAAAAAAAAAACACCAGCCACAAAAATAAAAAGTGAAAAAAATAAAATAAAGGAAAGGAAATTGTACATACACGTGGCAAAAATGCTTTGTTGGACTAACCCCAGCGTTGAAAATATCAGCAGTAAACGACAGAGTCATATCTTAGCACCCCTTTTATAAGCACATTGGTGGCCTCTCATGCGTGAGTTTGCGTGTTACTGTTTTTCTCAGTTGGGTATCGATAGGAATCCGAGTTCGCAGCCATGGCAATCGAGGTGAGCTCTCTAACCAACTTTAAAATTCGTTTTAGTCCAAACTCCAAAGTCGAGTTAGTCAATTATGGCTTTGCTTCAAATCTTTTTTAATGTTGTCATTGGAATTGAAACAGGCATGGTTCATGGACAACACCGAGGAAGACAAAAGACTCCCTCATCGTCCCAACCCCAACGAACTTGTTCCGCTCGACCAGTTGGCAGGTTCCCTCTCTCTCTCTCTCTCTATATATATATGTGTATGTGTGTGTGTGTATATATATAAATGTGTGTATGTATATTCAATTACGGGGAGTATACTGAAAATTTCATTAGATTTCATCTCAATAACTGAGACATTTCGCATATTATTGGGTGGTTAAATCATAGAATTTAGAATTTCAGGAGGGGCTAACTGCAAATTACGTTAAACATCACGTATAAATGTTTTTTTTCTTTTTTTTTAAATCCAGGTGGGGCTAGCGATGAAAACGTAACCATTGAAACGTATATATGTATGTATATTTACATCATATTTTTTTTGGTGGTATTTTGCAGAATTGGGAGTGCTGTACTGGCATCTGAACCCAAAAGATTATGAGAACGATGAAGAGCTTCGCAGCATTAGAGAAGCCAGGGGTTACAATTACATGGTAATGACTAATTCCATGGTTTGTTTCAATTGAACAGACTGCATGTAAATTGGTAATTTTATTTGTGGATAACTGATGGAAGTGCCCCTGGATTTTATTCAGGACTTGGGTTTTTGAAAGTTGACATTTTGCTTTAAAGTAGAGATTTTTCTTAGGAATTAGAAGTTCTAATTTCTAACTATCGAGGGCAATAAAATCACAAAGAATGAGTAAATAAACACACACAAGCTATAGTGGTTCACCCAAAAATATGGGACTTATGTCCGCATTCATCCGTTGCAGTAATTAATAATTCACTGCGATAAGAAAAGAAAATTACAAGAGAAAATGTGTTTTTCCTCTCTAATTTCTCTTTTAAACCCTAAAAACGGCGCAAATTAAACTAAGGCGACCCAAATTACACGTGTGAAGATCTCAAATTACCCTTAAAAAATTGATCCACATGTGCATCAAGACAATAATTAGGCTCGATGACTATTAACTATCTTGATAATTGAAATGGATTTGCAAGAGTATGTTTAATTAATCAAATGAAGTGGGCAACTAAAATGGTGTTTCTTCAAATTAAAGGGACTAATTACTATAGGATTTTGAATTCTAAAACAAAAGTGAGAATATGGAAAATATGTGGGTGTTGTCGTAAGTTACAATATCTCTGGTTTGGTGTTTCTTTCATTGTTGGATTTGCTTAATATATACTCAGAGAAGTTGGTTGTTCTACGTTGATATGCAAAAGTAAATCTACAAGACTATATTCAAGTAACTAACGACTTGAAAAACTAGATTGATTAATATTTTAAGTAAAGGGACTAATCATAAGAGTTTTAATATAAGAAAAAATTGGGGAAATGAAAATATGTGATTTGTCTTGCAAAGTACTACTCTCGTTTTTGGTTTTCTTTCTTCGTAGGATCTGCTTGACATATGCCCAGAAAAGTTGGACAACTACAACGAGAAGCTGAAAAACTTCTATACAGAACATATACATGCCGATGAAGAAATTCGCTATTGCTTGGAAGGAAGTGGTTACTTTGATGTCAGAAACAAGGATGACTGTTGGATTCGAATTTGGATTAAGGCCGGTGATCTTATAATTTTACCAGGAGGGATTTACCACAGGTTCACCTTAGACACCAGCAACTACATCAAGGTAAAGTGCCTTTTGATCCGGAGAAATAGGCTTAGAGCCCGTATTTGATAGCTTTCATTTTTGCTTTTAAGCAGTAGAAGATGAGAAACAAAGGTTATAGTTTTCACTTGCGGTGGATTCATGTTTTTTAAGGAGGTTAATAAGGAAAGTAGTATTCAATTTTATTCATAAATATAAAAATGCTAGAATTGAATCTGTAGAGTTAATATAACTGTTGTATAATTTTAAAATCTTCTTAAAAGAGCTTTTTTTGAGAAGTTACATTTTGTGACCTTGACTAGAAACTCTTTTAGAAGGTCATCCAAGCACTGACGTAAATAACTTTTGGATGCATAGCCATATGTTACTTCTTGAGTATTGTAGTAATATACACTTATTGAGTGCTTGTTTGGTAAAGGGATTTAAACCCTTGTTTCAATGGTTTTGTTACATTGTTTTTTTCTCAAAAAAATTTGAATTTTGGTTCAAACCATCTAGTTAGAGCCTTCTCCCTTCGCCTTCTCCCTTTGCCTTCTCCCTTTCTGCCCTCCTTAGACATCCTTGTCTAATCCACAAAACACGACAACTTTCCCCATTGCTTCACCGTTGATCAAGAAGGAAAATCGAGCCGACTCCACGCAATCCATAACCTTATTAATCCAGGTCATCGAAAAGCCCAACTTTCCTCTTATACCATCGAGTTTGAACCTGTGAACCAAACAGGTAGTGATTGCTCTTCATGTGTTGGGTTATATGCAGTTGATGAGGCTGTTTATAGGAGAGCCTGTGTGGACAGCGTATAACAGGCCACAGGATGATCATCCAGCTAGGAAGGACTACATCAAGAGCTTGACTGAGAAAGCGGGATTTCCATTGGAAGCTCATTGAGGCTCTTTCTTGACTGGTACTAAATGAGTCTATATGTATATGTTGTGTACTTGTAATTGATCAATGTATTAGAAGTTTAAGAGCTGATTTGCCATGTGTACTATATCCATTTATATGTATTTCTCTCTCTATTAATACAATAAAAGCGTATTGATATGACTATTATGAGCCTCTTTTATTTTGCTAGGAACTTTTGTTTCACAGATTTTGATTGAGATGAGCAAATTAAATGACAAATGGTTAGATATTTTTGTGGAAAATAAATGGTGCAATCTGAGTGTTTCAAGTGCTATTTGGAAATTCTCTTCAAGATGCCTTTTGTGTTTGCATATACGGTATGTGATGTTACAGAAGTTATTAAAGTTTTCTCTGCATTTGGTCTTACAAATTGTCAATGAGCGTGTTAGAACCCCAGTGTTTTGCGGCGACACAGGAAATATGAGAGCCCATTGGTTTGATTCTTCTACATTACTTTCCCTTCTATCATTTTAGGTTCCTTTGAAGTTGTGAGATATTTTTATTTTTGTCTATTTTCCTAGGGTTGTTTGGTTGGGAGATTCGTACCCCGATTCGAATCATGATTCATGGTTCGCTACAGTATTTTCTCTAAAAAAAAATACACGTAAATCGAAAATAGTTCTAATATCATGATTCTAATCCATGAACCAAACGTCTCCAGAGTACTGCTATTCAATATTTGCGTTAGTCTAACAAATAGTCTCAGAACTTTGTCCCCAATCTTAGTTACGTTTGATCTAATTTTTCTATCAGTTGGATGTTGACAAGACGATGGAATGCTATTCAATATTAGATGTTAATAATATTAGAGCATCTCTAATGCAATGTTATAATTGATGTACTAATTATAAATTTAATATTTGAGTGTAAAAAACTCTCTAATGCAATGCTATTTATTGTGTTGAATTTGCTATATAATACACTTTTTAGGCAAATTTATTACTAAGTATAACATACGGTGAATTTGACATTTGATTATTATTGGTTGATATTTTTACATTTTCATATAATTATTGCAACTTTTTATTTTCAAATTATTTTAAATTGAAAAGTTTACTTTTAAAACTTTTGGAGCTTAATGATTATGTGAAAAAGTAGATGTAGCATTTGTCAAGCGTTATACATTGGAACATAAATAAAAATAACACATATTATCATATTTTTTTTATGTCACCCTTATAATTAGTATTAACATTAACATTGGAAATGATTTTAGCATCATTTTATTGTCCTCTTAGTCTAGTGGCATTCAGAGATTTGGGTGGGTTGGGATTTGAGTAGGAGGTTGCGGGTTCAATCCTATTTTGTATTAAAAAAAACCACATAATTGATAGAATGGCTAAACGAGGTTATTTAGTTGGGAGATTCATATCTCGATTCTAATCTATGAACCCAACGTCTCCTGAAACAGATTGAAGTATGTGACGTTTTAAAAGTTAAGGGCCAAGACAACCCTTGAATTTATTACCAACTGTAATGCATCATTGAAGGTGAAATAAAATTATTATTTTTAATAGTGTAAAATAAGTAAGACCCTAATTTCTTTGTTTCCACGTGCGATATTTCATCAGTGAAAGTCTTTTTCAAATTGTTGGAGTATTTTATAAGCCACAAAATAATATCCTCATAATTGTGTGTCCCATGGTATTTTGCGGGTCTAGAAAACGGCATGGAATTGACTATAGAGGCTGACCAATTGAAATTCATAACTTAGACATGCATCAAATTCTATCTCCAAGCAACCAACCAAACTAACTCTTTCATGGTTTCATACTTTCATTGTTATGTTTTTAATATCACCCATTCATATTTGAACACAAAAAATTAATGCAATAAAAAAAAAAACACACAGAAAATAAAAAAAATCTACGTTAAACGTGTCAATTTGCGCATCTATTAAGGTAACCATTTGATTAAGTTTTAGCAGTTTAATTTATTTTTAGAAATTTTAAGTCTCTCTAAAAATAAATTATTAATAATTTTTTACTTTTTAACTGTTAAATTTATATTAAAATCTGTATGTTTTATACACTTTTTTAATCTATAAGATGAACTATTAGAGAAACTCTTTTACTTTTATACATGTATTATCATTGACATTAACATTCTTAAATTAGACTTTAGAGTTTAAAATTCTTTTGGCTAATGGCCGTTGAAATGTAATTAGACGGCTAATAAAAGTTACTCCGCCCATTGAATTTCTTCAGCTAAAAAATATCAGAATGTTGTAAAACTCTTTGACTTTCAATATATCATTCCAAGTCGATTTTCTCTTTCTCCTTAGAAAAGAGGAAGGAAAGATATAGTAAAATATTTAAGTCAATGAAGTAAAATAGTTTTTTTTTATGTTATTTGGTAGAAGAAAAAGAAAAGTAAAATGAAAATATTAAATTTAATGCATTTTACAATAATATTCTAATATAAATAAAAATATAATGAATGGTAAAAGTTAAAATTGTTGGGCCTGTTTGGTTTCGTTTTTGTTTCTGTTTTTCTCGTTTTTCGAGGTTAAAAAATGAAAATGGGTAAACAAAATGCCTTTGGTGCAAAATTTTCTAAAAATTGAAAACAAAAATGTTTTTGTCTTTTTCTGAAAATCTGAAAACGAATTAAGATCGTTTTCTCCGTTTTCGTTTTTGTTTCCTTCTTCTCCCATATGCATCTTTCGAAGCATTTCTCTCCTCACTCACTCACTCTCTCTCTCTCTCTCTCTCTCTCTCTCTCTCTCTAATGAGCCTCTGCCAGCGACCATCCCCACCGTCGCGTCTGGGCCCGATGGCGGCGGTGGGAGACCCAGAGTCGGAGCCGTACAACCAATGCTGAACTTTCGGGCGGCGGGCATGCCCGATGTCCGAAAATTTTCGGGCACTTCGGGCAGGCCACTCTCGCTGCCCGACCACGGTTTCCTTCGGGCACGGGCTCGGGTAGCCCGAAAATATTAATCCCCCCGACAACCCGCCGCCGTGGAGAAGCCGTCCCCCGCCGTTCGCCGGATTTGTTTTGAATTTTCCGGCAATACCCGAAGCTGCCCGAATTTGTGCCCGAACTGCCTGAATTTCTGTGACCGTTGCCCGAATTTTTGTGACCGTTGCCCGATGCCCGAAAAATGCCCGATTTTTTTTTTACCGTTAGCTCGAAAAAAATGCCCGAATTTTGAACAAACGGGTCTTTTTGCCCGAACCCGAATTTTGCCCGAATTTTTGAACCAAATGGTCAGATTTTGTACCGTTGCCCGACCTGCCCGATTTTTGCCCGAACTGCCTGAAAATTTGTAGCCGTTGGACCCGAATTTTTGGGGGAAAAATTTTTTTTTTCAACCCAAAAATTTTCCTATAAATACCCCCTAACCAATTTCCTCACCCCAAAACTCTCATTCTCTCTCAATTTCTCTTAATCTCTCTCAATTTCTCTTAATCTCTCTCAAATCTCTCTTAATCTCGCTTAAATCTCTTTCGAATCTCGATATCTCTTAAGCTCTCTCAAAGCGCTCTCAATCTCTCTTATTTTTCATAATGGCTTCTTCTGGTTATGGTGGTGATATTTCCATTGATGCCCAATTCAACATCGAAGAAGGGCAATTTCTTAATGTTTTTCAAACGCAGGAATCACAAACTATGAAAAGAGTTGCTGATGAAACTGCAAATCCGACCCCTGGTGGACGTACTAGAGGTCGGGGACGCAATGGTGGTGGCACAAGTGGCCGTGGAGGAGAGGCAAGCGGTAGTGCTAGTGCAAGTGTTGCAAGTTCTAAGAAGAAATGCATGCGCACCTCAGCAGTTTGGGAGCACTTCAACACATTCGAGGACGTCGACAATAACGGTAACATTAAATACGTAGCTCAATGTAAATATTGTGGTGAGAAATTACAAGGTAACACTATTCACGGCACTACACACTTAAGAAGGCACTCTGAAAAGTGTCTTCAAAAGCAAGGAAGCGGAGCTGATCTTCGCCAAACGCAATTATTGTTTGACCGCCAAACCGGCGGTCTAAGCACGTGGAAATACGATCTGCAAGTTGATCGTATGAAAATGGCACGATTAATAGCCACATTAGATCAACCACTAAATTTTCCTGAACAAAGAAATTGGCAACGTTATATTAAAATTGTACATAATCCTAATGCACAATTTTTTTCTAGAACTACTCTTAGGAAAGATGCATTAAAATTATATAAACAAGAAAATGAAGCATTAATCAACCTTCTACACTCTACTAGTGATTATGTTGCGTTAACGGCGGATATTTGGTCCACCGTTGTCAACAATGATTATTTAGCTGTAACTGGACATTATTATAAAGGTTTTGATTTGGATAAGAGAATCTTAGGTTTCAAATGTGTTATAGGATCACATACTGCCAATTTAATATATAACCCAATTTTATCTGTTATTGATGAATATAGTTTAAGAGATAGAATAATGGCCATAACATTAGATAATGCAACTGCGAATACTAAAGCAATAAAACTTTTTAAAAATGATTTAAGTTTATTTAGTAATAATGATATTTTCCACCAACGTTGTGCATGTCATATAATTAATTTAATAGTAAAGTCCGGTTTAAAATCAATGTCAGGTCATATTAAAAGAATTAGAGATAACATTGCTTGAATTCAAGGTAGTAATCAAAGAATACAAGATTGGTTTAGATTTCTACAAGCATGTAATCAAAATCCTAGAGCATTAGCCTTAGATATGCCCATAAGATAGAACTCCACTTA